CCCAGTTCCATTACATCATTTTAATTCTAGTTTTTGGGTTATTGTATGACTTTTCATCCTTATCTGACTTCTAGGTGGCAGTTGGGTTTGTCATTTTGTTTCTGACATATTCACAGTGTCTGGAATACCCTAGGTGCTGAACAAATAATTCATTTCATAAATGGATGAATGTCACCATTGTTATATTACTGGGTTATTAGGACAATTAGCTAGAAGAAAATTTTAAACTGAACTTCACTATTAAGGTTGGTTTCATTAAATTCTAGTGCCAATTTTATTTTCTTCCTACCTAGTAAGATGGCTGTATAAGAGAAGCTAATAATTTGATTTGGAAATTTTGATATGTAAGAAATTATATTAACATAAATATTTTCCCCCCACAAACATGTATTTATTGAGTGCCTATTTAAGTGAGCACTATGTCATGATAGAATTCTTTTCAGATAGGGATTTGGGGGTGGCTAAATAAATAGGAAGAACACAGGTTAAATATAAAAATCAGTTTTTAGATTAAAAGTAGATCACAATGTATTGTGAGATATAATAGAGTAATGTAAAATGTGTCATGAGGTATAGGAGTGACATTTGAGTTATGTTATGGGGTCTTTAGAGAACATCACGAAGGCTAAGAGTTATGAAGGATGAAGATCTAAGAGGAGGAGTGTTTCTGGAGAAGGTAGTAATATCCAGAGTTTAGAACAGTCAAGGAGTTACATATGGTTAAACGTGATTGAAAAAAGAGGGTGAAGGATAACTGGAAGGTTTTTGAAGATGCAGCTACCTATGAATCGCTGAGAATAATTTTTCCTAGAATGCGTGGATGGTCTACATTCAGAAGGGCAGTGGACCATAAGTCCGGGTGGTAGTGACTGGGTAAGATATGTGACTGTGAGGCTATGAGAAGTACATGTGGATAAGAATTACATAAATGGATAAAGCTTCCTTTGAGAAAATGGGTTTAATATAGCATTGTATTGGTTCGAAGAGAAAGTGCTGAGAGAATTATTATGTACTTATAGAAGGAAATGTATGTGTGTGTATGTGATCATTTGCACATTTGACCTAGAGTTTGAGCCATGTTGCTGCTTCACTCAACCAGCCTTTCTTTGGTATCTCTTGGAGTCATGGCTTAAAACACTGCCTCAAATCCAAAAGGGGAAAAGTGATAAAGTATAAACTAAGAATGCTGAGAGAATAGAACAAAATGAACTACCAAGGAAATCACTGGGGAAACATCACCACAGATTTTCAAGGGCTCTGAGTTGATGTCAGAGGTGTGATGTATTGAGGGAATTTATAACCTTAAATAGTAAATATGTAACATCGGAAAACTATTAAGTAAGGGGTATAGAAGAAGAGTAGGTACAGGCAACAAAGATTGAGGATTATGGTGTTAAAATCATACAGAATGGGCATTCACTCTTATTCCAAATGCAGGGCTTATCATCCGTAGACTGTACCAAAACTTTACCACTTTATTCAAAATCAGATTCCACTCCTACCAATGTTGACTTCATTTATTCCATCCCCTACATGTGCCCTTTGGCATATTCTAGGTTTTCTAAACCTTTATTTCTTCATACTCTCATTCGGAAGTGGCATCCATTGCCATGACCTCTACTACAATTTAAATGGTGATTCTCCCCACCACCCCCTACATGCACACTGATAATTTTAAAATAACTTTTATATTTAAATCAAGAAATGTAGTATACTCAAGAACATTCTCGAGATTTTATTTATATAGGTGTTCAACTGTCTTGTCGGTGCAGATATAGAAAATTGCACTATTTTGCCATATCTCTTAGTTATGCAAATTACCTTCCAGCTCAAAGGGACTTTTTATAGTGCTGAGATAGTTCTCTCAAGGATGCTAAGGATTCATCATTATCCCAGTTAGTAGTTATTTGCTGCTGAACATAGTGAAGGGGACCGAGGGTATGATAATGCTCAGAATTTTTCCTTAATGTGATTTCATGTCTGAACTTTTTTCGAGAAAGGCATGCAATGCATGTAACAACCACTAGGGGCCACTGTGGAAAGGTGCCCTAATTCCGTTGGGGGAGAGGTGTGGGAGAAAATAGGGGGGTGAAGGGTGAGCTGCTTTTTTATTTAAGAGGTACCGTATTTAAGTTTGCTTTAAACATTTAAATGTAATTTAAAAAGAAACAAAAATAACGAGGTAAATCTTTTTGTTACCAAGCATTAAATTAATGAATTAATGCACTGATTTAATTCTGAGTTTCTTGATAAGTCTGGCAAAATGAAAAATATGTTGACTTCATGTTGTTCTGTTATACAGAACAGCTCATCAACAGTAACAAACTTCAACGGCATCCACTGTGTGGGTCTTTATGTAAGGGCTACGGGGTACACATCTCCCAATGTTTTCAATTAGAATTTTGCAGAGAACATGTTTATATTGCTCAAAATGGAGTTTTGTGTATCTATTATCCATAATGACTGAGGAAATAAAAATAAAGAATCCATCCAGGAAGGCATTTCTGCAGGAAATGAACTGGATTCGGGAATATTACTTCCTAATGGTAGCAATGCAGGATTAACTTTCTTAATGCAGGCATTAAGGGAATTTCTAGGGAAATGCCTAGATAAAATGCCCATTGTGTTATTTATCCAACATGTGCTTAAATGAGCCATCCACAAATGCTCAGAACTGGCTTTTGGTTTTTATCTGTTGAGAGCCTAAAGTAGAACTACTATCAAATAAATATCATTTATTGGTTGAAATGGAACTCTCATGCTTGACTCTGCTTGACTCTGGAGTTGAGCATTCTAGTGATGCTCACCTCCAAGTGCCTCTGTGACATTTCCCTCTTTTGACATGTCACCTGTTGCCATTCAATATTGATCTTCTTTCTGCCTATCCTTTAAATGTTGGCGTTTTTCACTGTTTTATTCTCACTGTGTGAACTCTTCCTGCAACAGTGTATTCACTCTCTTCAACCACCACGCGTGCGCTGATGATGTCTCAATCCAAATTTCCAGTTGAGATATCTCCCCTGAGATTCAAGCTACTTTTTTTTCTTTTTACATTTTTTTAATGTTTATTTATTTATTTATTTTTTGAGAGAGAGAGAGAGCACAAGCAGGGGAGGGGCAGGGAGACAGGGAGACACAGAATCTGAAGCAGGCTCCAGGCTCTGAGCTGGCACGGAGCCAGATGTGGGGCTCGAACCCACGAACCGCGAGATCATGACCCGAGCTGAAGTTGGACGCTTAGCCGACTGAGCCACCCCGGCGCCCCTGAGATCCAAGTTTCTAATTCCTACCGCATCTTCATGTGGAGGGATATACGTATTATAAATAGATATTGCCGGCTCTGCTTCTTCAAGATTAAATTTACCAGATTCACTCTCACGCCTATGTTTCTTCAACGGACACTACTATTTAACCTGTCATACAACGGAGCCACCCATCTGAGAATCGTTGAAGGTGTATCTCCTTTACTCACCTTTGCTATCTTCTGTTACAGAATGTTGTCAATTTCCCCACTCTTCTTACTTCACAGTAATTGCTTGTGTCCAGATACTAATAAAATTTAAATACATTTTAAACAAATTTAATAAATTTAATAAAATTTTATTTTAAGAGCAACCTCCCCTTCTCACCCCATACACATACACACAACACTAGAGTGGAACACTTCACAGCATGGATTTTTATCTCATTTTGGCTTCTTTGCACTTATTTCTAGTTTCTAAATATTTATTGAATCGATGCGTAATGGGAAAAAAAAAGTAATTGAATTATGAGTGTCCCTAGCTTTCCCATTAAAAAAAAAAAATGGGTTAGAGGCTTTGTCGTTCCATTTATTTCTCTTTGCTCAGCTTCTTTGGAGGTTTCCGCCTTTACTAGGAGAGTTCTTTGGGATTTTGTAATAGGGAATTAAGATAGGAGGAAGGAGAGAGGGAAGAGAAGTCTTCAGACAGGGCTTGTGGAAGAATTACACAGAGAAAATTTAGAGGAGATTTGAGAAAGGTAAGTGTATTTTATGAATAAAATGGACACGACAGAAAAGAGAGTTTTCGGAATATGTTATTGTGGTCAGAAAATCTTCCACAAGTGTTGAGAAATACAAGTAGAAGAAAAGAGATATGAAAAATATAATTTGAAATGATTTTTTGGTTGTCTAATTGTGCATATACCCTGACGAAAGAGTCACAGATTCAATGCAGATACAAATAATTAAATACATAATACATAAATGAGCGAGTGAATGAATGAATGGGTAAGAGCGTGACCAGGATTGTCATTTGGATGGAGGGTGTTCATATCTGCATAAGAATTCCTGCAGGTTGTCCCAGATATGGGTTGTAACCGGAGAAAATTTTTAAAGTGTTTAATTATTTTTGAGAGAGAGAGAGAGAGAGGCAGAGAGAAGGTCTGAAGTGGGCTCTGTGCTGACAGCAGAGAGCCCCATACAGGGCTCAAACTCATAAATCACGAGATCATGACCTGAGCTGAAGCCAGATGCTTAACCGACTGAGCCACTCAGGGCTCCCCATAACCAGAGAATTTTGTGGCATTTGATTTAGAAGAGGCAATTTTGATTTGAAAATTTGCAAGATCATGTGATAATAATTTCATAATAGTAAAGGTGCCTTAACCGAACTATATCCTGGTGGGCCTATTAAAATAAATTTATGTGTGAACATTTGTCAAAGCATTGAATAAATTGGTCTGTTGGAAGAGATTCCTCAATATTTTCGAATTAAATTGTATTTACACATATAATTATTTCAACTTTAAGCTTTGTGAGTATGTATATGTTCTGTTATGGATAATGCTCAGCGAATATGTGTAGCTATCTTTAATTCACCTCCTCGTTATAAGAGTAAAACTTTAGCAAAGAATGATTGCTCTAGCAGATGCTTCCAGTCACCTGGTAACTATTTCAATGTATGTTGTAGATTGGGAACTTTAAAACCTAAGCTTGATTTTCACATCATTACCAATTGATTTTTTTTTCTTTTCATCAGCTCATTTGATTTGAAAATAGCCTCAAGGAAGCATGAATAGCATGAGATCAAGAGTCATGAGCTCATCAGATTCACAGGCAGTTCCTCTTTCCAGATTTGCAGCATGACTAATGGTTGGGATAGTTGAGAATAGTCCTACCTCTTCCTTAACTATATTCTTAATAATTATCTCACTACTGATACAAAGCAGAAATATCTGCTGAGTTTATGTGTAGGATATTAAATTTAAAAACCTAGTTGAAACATTTTTGCAAGAAGGAAACTAGAATGAAAGTATCTAGCAGGGCAACTGGTTTATAATTGAAGATAGTTTTTCTTCATAAAGATGACAGAGACAACCCTTTATTCTGAAGGATTAGTTGGATAGTTTGACAAACATTTGATTCATCACTCAGCACTGGTTCTGAACTATTGATATTTTATAGTGTTGCACTATCTTCCTATCTTTCAGTTTTGGGTATTTGGGTTACTGAATCTCAGGCTTGGGATCCCTACACTGTTTGGACCTCGTCTGTATCCATTTAACAGTGACTGTGGAGCATTTGAAAGGTGGTGAATCTGCCCTGAGATAGGCTATAAGTGTAAAATGCACACCTCTTTGCAAAGGCTTCATTTGATGGAGCTCCTGGGTGGCTCAGTAGGTTAAGTGTTCGACTCTTAATCTTGGCTCGGGTCATGATCTCATGGTTCGGGAGTTTAAGCCCCTGCTTTGGGCTCTGTACTGACAGCACAGAGACTGTTTGGGATTTTCTCTCTCTCTCTGTGTTTCCCCTTCTTTTACTCTCGCTCGCACTCTCTCACTCTCTGTTTCTCAAAATAAGTAAATAAATTTAAAAAGTTCATTTGAGGGGCGCCTGGGTGGCACAGTCGGTTAAGCGTCCGACTTCAGGCAGGTCACGATCTCGCGGTCCGTGAGTTCGAGCCCCGCGTCAGGCTCTGGGCTGATGGCTTGGAGCCTGGAGCCTGTTTCCGATTCTGTGTCTCCCTCTCTCTCTGCCCCTCGCCCGTTCATGCTCTGTCTCTCTCTGTCCCAAAAATAAATAAACGTTGAAAAAAAATTAAAAAAAAAAGTTCATTTGAAAAAAGGAATGTATTCTTTTGTAGTTTTTAAAAACTATTTTTATTTTTTTATGTGTATGTTGAAATAATGAATTTTTGTCTGTTTCCTTCTCGTTTTTGATATGACTGCCAGGAAAATCTAAGTTACACATGTGGCCCACATATTGCTGAGACTTTAGACAAAGTTGTCATAATTGTAGACCTAGTGATGTAATTTTCTCAGATATCAGTAAATATGTGAGCTTTAATAATTCTATTAGCTGAAGACATTCTGATAATGTGTCTCCAAATATGTACCTATTAAATTCTTTAAATTTTTTTTTTCTTATGAAGTTAAGATGTTGAAAAAATAACTTGTTCTTAAGTTTTTGGTGACTGACCGACTTCTCGGTAACATAACAATAATTTTTGGTAATTCCAGGCAGGGTTGGTAGGGCCATCTAAAATTTTCATGTCTTGGGAAAGCAAAAAATGTTAGCTTCTCTGATGGAAATGGCTGTGAACTAAAGTCAGAAGACCTGGATTAAAGCCAAGGCTTACTTGGCCACTTACATGATCTCCAGTAATAAATTATCTTGCTGGGAGCCGACAGTGTATTTCCATATCTACAAGAAGGGAAAAATTAATAATAGCAGTCCTACCTATCCACAAGGTTATTGTGGCAAATGGAATCATAATGGTTAGAGTGTTCACTAAAATCTTTTGTAAGGTGTTATTACATATATAAAGTGTGATTTTATTATCTTGTGATATATGGACAGTAAAATCATATGTATACTTATTTAAAAATTTTTTTAAATGTTTTATTTATTTTTGAGAAAGAGAGACAGAGAGAGAGAGAGACAGAGAGAGAGAGAGAGAGAGAGAGAGAGAGAATGAGTGGGGGAGGGGCAGAGAGAGAAGGAGACACAGAATCCGAAGCAGGCTCCAGGCTCTGACCTGTCAGTGCAGAGCCTGATGTGGGGCTTGAACTCGTGAACTGGGAGATCAAGACCTGAGCTGAAGTCGGAAGCTTAACTGACTGAGCCACCCAGGCACCCCAATATATGTATATTTATTTTAATATGTTTTTTGAAGGAGAAAAAAACATAAGTAGTATTTATTTGGTAGAGCTCTTGCAGAGCCTAAACTGATATGAACACTTATTCTCTGCCCCGGATTCCAGCCAGAGATAATGACCTCAACTATTTCTGTCTTCAGTTCTTCTGGGGCTCATCACTACAATTGTAAATAATAAACTTGCATCTTTTTTTCTGTAGACAGTGGCTAATTAAGCCTGGGCTATGAATAAAAATTTAGCTCACTAACACTATCTCCCAAGTTAAATAACCTGTATCATTATTTGATGCTTTCCTTGCTTCTCTTTTTAACCTTAAATAATATAATGAAACCTATTGTTCTTCTTTTCATTAATTTCGACAGCGTCTCTGGGTCTCTCCCTATGTAAAATACAGGCATTAGTGTCCCTACGGCATCTCTCACCTCTCCCCTTTCCCTCGTCTTGTAACTTCTTCTAATTAGTTAGTTATTAGTTAGTTATTTTGTATGTTCAGAGTTTTGGTTCAACCTTAAATGTTGTCTGAGTAGCTCCAAAATTGAGAACCTATGAACGCAACACATCTTACATTATTATGATTAGATAATGTGTATTCACAGCAGGATCCAGGAGTGAGGTTTGCTTTCCCTGGAAGGGTCTTTGGACAATTCTGCTGAGGCTTCCTCCTTGTGGAGCTAAATGCCATGCTTGGAGAGAAAAAGCCGTAGGCTATTCTATTCCAACAGGCAGTGCTTGTAACAGGTGATCTTTACAGCAAAGATGCACTTAAGTCATCGGAGCTTGTACATTCATGGGAATTTTTGCCTACCTGAAACTTTTCTAGAGAGTAGTGGAAACCTGCCTCCTAATGTCCATGACAGGAAAGTACAGACTGTAATTGGTTATTATTGTTGTCCTTGGGATAAAAGAAGCAGGAAGATTACCTCAAAAGACAGGTCCAGTGATCTGTAGACCTTGACCCTGGATTAATTAGTTTTCTAAAATCCAACCCTTTTAAGATTGGGGCAGAGTGAGATGAGTTACCAAAAATCTCAGGTCTTTGAAACAATTAAGGAAAGAGACCCAGGTGAGTGGAGTTTAAGAATCCAGTGTAGGTGATAGTTGATTGTTAATTAATATTAAGTTGAGTAGAAAGATGAGTGGATTTTTCTGGAAATCCTTAGAGTGATGTTTATTTGTTAAGGGAATGAACCTTTTATTGCTTTAGTCAAATTCCTTATTAATTAATTGGGCTCAGCAAGGCAGGGAATCTTTTTTGATTTTTGACCCAAAGTACCCTCTCAAATAGACCAAGACATTAGTCAAAATATAATTCTGTGTCATTAAATTGTTTCACTTGAAGCCTGCTGTTCTAAATATCAAACTCACATACATTCCTTTGGAAATAACTGTGCATTTCCCCTTCCTCCTTGCATTAAAAAAAGTCAAAAAGCAAAATAAAAAAACATTCAGTTGCATCTTCCCTTAACTGTTTCTGGCCCCATAGCATACTACTTGCCTGAAATACATTTAGAGTTTCCTCAAAACCTATAGAAAAAAAGAGGCAAAACTCTTCCAGGATATGGCTTTTATTTATGCTGCAACCTTGTGTACCTAATTACTTGTCTGTATTAGCTCTCTGCTACATTTAATTTTTTTGTTGTTGACGTTTTGAAATTATTGTTTTTCATGCCTGGGTTATATGCTAGGCATTGTGTTAAATGATTTGCATGCATTACTTTGCTAATCTTAATATGGCCATTTTAGAATTGAGAGGCTAACTCATGGAAGCTAGACTTACGCTCCTGTCTAACTCAAGCTCATCGTCCCCTGTGCACAGTCCCCACTGAATGCCACTTGGAGCACAAGTAGTGTCACATAACACTTGGTGCCCATTTATTTCATCACTTCATCCCACCTGCCTGTATTAAGCAGTAGGAAAAAAAAAGCCCTCCCCTTTAAGCTATCTGTCTTCTGTTATGCCAGACAATAAATTTATGGACAAAATGATCACTTATGATGTCTTTTCATCACTTCTGTGCCTAAAATAATACTTCGGGCTAGTAGGTGGAAATAAAACTTTATTGATGGTAACAATGGTAATAACTATTAGCCTTTGGTATTAATAGCCAATTGCAATTTCTGCTCCGTTCCCACACATATGTCTTAAAGCTTCAACCTTTGAAATCTTCCCACACTTCTCAATCCAGACAGTTCGACTTCACTTCCACATTTCACACTCTGAAACTTCACAAGAGTGGGAGGCACAGCTATCGAACTCTTCTTTCGAAATAAAAATTCATGCCATTTCTGGGGAGTGGGTCGTATCCCAATAATAGGATGGAGGGGAGAGGGAGCATATTTTTCTAGGATGCCACAGTTTCCTCCAATACTTTACTGATTAGTAATTCTTAGGTAACAGGGGCATTTATGGCCAACTGCCTCTTGCAGCCCTCCCATGACCAACAGTGGTACCGCACTCAGCGAGTAAGTGAGCTTTGCTGCAAAACTAGAAAACCTCATCTGCGTCTCCTCTATCAAATCACCTGAGCTCTTTGAAATAACTCAATGGCATTGCAATGGGAACAGCGATGTCGTAGCTGACAGTTTTTATTTTAAATGCTTTCATTTGCTTTAGTTTTAGTTCCAAGCAAAATGCTCTAAATCCTGCACGGTGCATACACGTATAATTTAAATGCAGCATTATTATACTGTATTGCAACACCAGCAGAAGACAGCCCTCACTCTGCTGATAGATTGCCAGCACACCAAAAAAGCTCGACCTTTATGAGAGCACATGCCCGCTCTGTCTCTGTCTCCATCTCTCTGTCTCCATCTCTATCTCTGTCTCTCTCTTTCACACACACACACACACACACACACACACACACACACAGGCTTGGTTTATATTTGTGAGCACGGAAGTGGACAGACATCACAAACACCTGATACTAGAGGAGGTTAATGAAGACCGGGCCCTAAATTTGAGTGTACAAGTAAGGTTTTGTACCTTAAAACGTTGCAAACGTTATCTTGTTTAAGTGTGCTTAAATTGAAATGGCTCAGCCTTACATTTGGCCGACAAAATAAACATGTACCCCATATCAAACAAATCTGTATTTAAAAAAAAAAAAGTTTTCTCAAGTTAATCATCCTTATTGCCTTTTGCCCCATTCTCAAAACACATCCCTGGGCACCTTTTGGGATGAGCACTGGGTGTTGTATGGAAACCAATTTGACAATAAATTTCATATATTGAAAAAAAACCACATCCCTA